TAAACGTGGGCTGCTACCGGTACTGGAACCGTGTGACCGCTGGTACTGTTGATATGCACTATGTGACCATCGACTTTGTTAGCCTTCATACATCTCACTGCTTCCCTGGTCATCATGCATAGTCCCACAACGTTGAGATCGAGCATACTCTTCCAATCGGTCGTGTTTCCGTCACACAGACTTGTAGGCCTCAACACTCCCGCATTATTCACCAGAACATGGACGGGACCCAAATTCTCCCCAATCCATTTATAAGCGTTTAGTACATCCTCCTCCTTGGCAACGTCGGCTGTTAAATGGTAGTACCTTCCCTTTCTTCCTTCGAGAGTCCGAGCCAATTCCTCTCCTAGTTCTTTACGCCTGGCAAGTCCTACAACCTGAAAATCCTAATGAAGTCATTGTTTGCCGTAAGAGAGTACCTACTGTCAACCCAACATCCACCAATTGTTCGGCAATTACGGATCCAATCCCCGAAGTGGTGCCGGTCACGATAGCCACCTTACCTTCCCATCTGTTCATGTTGTTAAACTGATATACGGGACCATGTGCACGTTGGAGGAGATTATATATCAGAGATTAGAACAAACACATATTTGATAACGGATATCAATGATCGTTGTACTTTGCGCTGAATTAAAGTTATTCACTTTATAGGTTGACCCATGAAAGCGTTTCTAGTAACTACATAGCTGTCGCTACTCTCAGACGTTGGGATACAATATAATTGTGCTATTACAATGTTTCTTATGACATTTTCTGCAACTCACAACTGTCACGTGACACGCGCAATATGCCTTGTGCATAAAAGTAACCACAGAGGTAAAGTTTCCCTCAAGGTTTTGATTGCGCAGTCCAATCCCTGAGATTTTCTTCACCGTATCTGCTGTAAACCTTGAGGCTGCCGATTGACTGTACTAGACTCCTAAAAAAACACCCTGTAGATTCTCATTATTATTAATATGACCAGTGATGTAAGCCTTTCAGCGTAATTTCAAAATTTAACGAAATATCTCAAAAACTGCACCCTGTAAATCGGTAACGAATCGTTTGCAGACCTATTCGTTTATATAACTGTCACATCATATTTAGGAATAGCCTGTATACGAGTCAGGAATTGACGTATGCCTAATATCAGTCCGTGTGTGGTGCACCCTTATTTAAAGGACATGCTGAAGATCTCGATTGAACAGCTTTGTCTTGACGAAAAACTGTACGTCTGTGGCTACCTTTAATGACAACACGCTGTACTCATGCTGTAGTATGTTGGTAGCTTCCGCTATCTCTCGGTAACTTTAGAGCATAATCCATGTAAGGGAATGTCGGCGAGTTGTTAGTGCGTTAGAAATTGAATTATAAATTGGTGATCTTTATTTGTAATTAGAAAATTAAGTTAATAATTGCGTAATTCAAGACCGCCTCGGGTTCTTACGAAAACCTCTTTTCAGTTAGGATAGGATAAAGGGGTTATATTTTCACGTCTCAAAAACGACATGATGAATTCAATTCACTGTCAATGTTTACAAACCGCTCACAACAATACACGCCATTTGCAAATTACATCAGCGGCTCTAGGGTTAATCTGAATCGCGAATATAAAATTTAAAAAATCTGCATCTGCGGGGAATTGAACCCAGGCTATCTAATGCTGACTCTAGAATTCTCTAGATGCTTTTCGTTTGCTACATATATTAGCAAATTGAATTAATAAGCGGAACGTGTCTACTCTACCTAAAAATACCGGTCCTTTGTCCTTTACCGGTACCGGTGTCGGTTCCGGTTATCATAACTTCTTAAATAACGGTTCTGGGTCCAAGTGAAGGGTCTATAAATGCAATCGGTTGCGGTACCGGTTCCAACCCCCGGTTGAAAGCACAACGGTTTGACCTGAAGTACGGTAATGAAAAATCGTAAAATATTATAAAACAATGAAATTGTGAATTATTTGTTTAATAATGACCGTTATTATTATTCAGATTGTGAAAGATCGAAATAAATTACATTGCAAGAATAAACTATGAAAATGGTAGTTCACAGAGTAAAAACAGGAATAGACTGAGGAAAAAAAGGCCTGCCAAGAAAAAAAACCAGTCGACAAATTAATATTCAATTGTGTAGTTTGTAATAACGCATAACATATAATTATAACGACAATATAAAGAATAGCATAAAAGCTTCGAGCGAGGTGAAAAAACCGACTTTGGAAAAGTTTGACACAAAGCCAATATTCAGTTATCACATGTCAAGGGTTACAAGAATCGATTAGCAATTGGGTTTGGGTATCAGCAAGGTGGCTCTTTTCTAAGGACTTTCTAAGAACATAAAAACAAAAATATACCTGCACTTTTACCTGCAACGCACATGTGATTTCAAAACGAGGAGGTATACTACATATTCAAGTCAAGTGCAAATATTCAACAATCTTGACATTTGATTAATAAATCCAAATTGGTCACAGTCAAAGTTAAACACAAGGATCTGTAAGACAAATTCAAATTTACGATAAAATATGTGGTAATCAGTGAATTGCAACTCATATATCACACATAGTTTCTAAGCCGAAGAGTTTTTTTATTACCAGAATCTCGTCCTCGAGATAGGTAGTAAATTATGGACCCTCGTTCGGGTTTTCCAAGTCTATAGTTGAGAATCGAGGGCAGTCCCAGCATTGAGTGCCGTAACTAATTCGGTTACAATTCTTATCACTTTTGTGATCCGTCTCTTCATGGCGAAAATGTTAGTTTAGAAACAACAAGTCAGTACACATACACACAAAGAATAATCAAAAATACATGTAACAAAAGGTTAACGGTATCAAACACATGAATTTGCATTGAGGTTAAATCAAGTCGTCCTCAAAATCAAGGATTAAAACTCACAAAAAATATGAAATTTTGCATACAACGGCAAAACACAAATACATTATAAATAAATTCAAAGATTACTACCTACCTCCATTAAATAACACATAAAAACAACAAACATTTACGGAACGATGCTTTCGTGATCGCCATTAAAAAAAAGATGCAACTTACCCCTCCTAATAATTGAGTGGTTGTCAGCTCTCAAAAATGTGATCCTCAACCATAAAAACCCTGTACTGTAAATTCAAGGTGACATGTACTATAGACAGTTGTGGCCTTAGAGAAGGAACTCGGGGAAGGAATCGTTCACTCAATGATTAACATTTGAACTTTTTTTAAGGGGAAGGGGCACCTAAGTAAATGACGCATGCTTTATGGCCAAGTGAACGTTCACTTGGGCATAAGACTCTGTAAGCGCTCGTGACACAAAGGCGGGAAAACCTAATTTTTAGGTTAAAATTAAAATGACTACGTGGTCACTCTCATGAGATGGAATGTTTGGATGGAGTCATGGAGTTAGCTCCTTTTCTCTCTTTTTTGTAATAAAAAAACTACGATGTCAATACTTTTTCTGGTCCACCAATAAAGATAAAAGAATGCTTTAGAGCAAAATGGGTGATCATAACCCATAAACGAACGCACCTCACAAAGTTGCTTGTGTGGGTGCGTGCTCGTAAGTGACACGATGGGCGCTGTCAGCGGACAACAGCGACAAATCAGAAGTAAGCGTATAAGAAACTCCCGCTGACTAAATAGTGCACAGCCAGCACAGCTGCTGATAAAAAGCTGATTCTTAGCGTAGCCGTTCAGCGAATTTACTGTGTGAACCCCCGCCTCATGTGGCGCAGTTGAGTTGAACCTCGGCTACGGTACTAAGGGTCCCTGGTTCGAATCCAGGTTCGGGCATGGGTATTTATAGTGGGTTGGTAGAGCAGCCTTGGCTGAAACTAGGATTGCCAACTGTCCCGCTTTTTATACGAAGAGTTCCGCGTCTTGCTTAAATGTTTGGCGGGACGTCGAACAAAAGCGTCGCGTCGCCGGCAACCGCCGCTTGAAAGATATTTTTATTGTTTTCCAATTTTTGGCATCAATGCCTCCTTCCAATGCTGCAACGGAAAGGATTTTTTCTCTATCTGAAAATGCTTGGACAGAAAATAGAAATAGACTCACAGTAGACAGTAGACTTCCATGTTCAGAATTTTTTGACTATTGCCTGAAGAACAAAGCTTTATTACATGCTGCTAAAACTAAAAACAAATACAGCTTTAAGTAAAAAAAATAACTACTTACCTAAAGTTCCTTCTTATGTGGAAAAATGAAGTGAATTGGGACTCAAGTTTTTATTATTTTAAGTGTAAAATTCAGCTAGTAGAGTTTTCCGAAGAGATCCGAGTTTGAAACTTTGTCGATGAAGGACTCCATAAATGTTTGAGTGATTGTTTTTGTTTTTTATTTATTTTTTTTATTTTTATTTTTTTTTGTTTTTTTATTTTATTTTATTATTTTATAAAAAATAATAAAAACTGTGAGTGTCAATTCACTTCATTGTTCCAATAAGCAATATTTATGGAGTCCTTCATCAATAAAGTTCCTTCTTATGTCTTTAATGCGTATAAGTAAGTACCTACACATTTTGTAATTTTCGAGTTGTTGTTAAAGTAAAGAAATAGAAAAAAGTTTTACTTTATGTTTTTTTACTTCAAATAGCATATTTATATTATTTTTACCAGATTTTTTTGTTTTGTATCGGAAGAAAATATATTGTTTATTTTTAAAATTTGTTTCACTTACGTTTTCTCCAAACGGAATTCAGCGTCCCGCTTTTTTGTCCAAAATCCCGCTCTTTTTAGTCTGCCAACCCGACAGTTCTCATACTTAAAACAGTTGGCGAACCTAGCTGAAACCCCGCCCCATTGATTATGTAATAATCAATGCCCGCCCGCTCAAAAATAATATTAAAAATTAGCCGCTGCTGTCCGCTGATTGCGCCCAATTTTCTCGCTTGCATATTATGTCAACTGATGTCAATCCTCCTAGATGGTACGTCAACCATACGTACAAGAAAGTAATGGTTGTAGTCGTCGAGTAGGAACACAATTAATATTTTATTATTATTTTGTTATAGCTGGTACACAGCTCACTTACTATCGTAAGCTGTGGCTGGTATTTGTGTAATAAGAATAGCATCACACAGATTACAATATGCACTATGGCCTTGGTGGTTGACGACACCTTATCAATTAGTAGGGTCATACTGTTATCGTCTCGAACGTATTTTTAGAACACTTCTAGTTGTTAGTTGTTACCCCACAAGGAACATTCCTCAAAAATGGTGCTCTCAATGGAACGTTGGGTTGGAAAAGTTGCCGTAGTAACGGGGGCGAGTGCCGGAATCGGCGCGGCGATTGTAAAAGAGCTGGCCGAAAAAGGAGTGAAGGTAAATGGCATAAATTAAGATACAATCACGAGCAACTTTTTCTGATTACAGGTGGTCGGCTTGGCGAGGCGCAAGGAAAAGATCGACGAAATTGCGAAGTCTGTAAAAACTGGCAAGATTTATGCGGTTAAAGCCGACATCAGTAAGGAAGAGGATATTTTAAGCAGCTTCGAATGGATCAAGAAAAACGTGGGCCCGATCAGCATACTCATTAATAATGCCGGGATTAAACGTAACACCAACCTCACCGATGGTAACACCGAGCAGTGGAGGGAAACCTTCGACACGAACGTCTTGGGATTGTGCATCGCCACACGGGAGGCTGTTAAGGATATGAGAGCTAACAAGATCGATGGCCATATTATTCATATAAACAGCTTGGCAGGTCACCGAGTATCCACCAGAGTTGTTACCAACGTCTACCCGGCCACCAAGTTCGCGGTAACAGCCCTCACTGAGACCCTAAGACAGGAATTAAATTCTATCGGAAGTAAAATTAAAATTTCTGTATGTGTACTAAATGTAACGGTCAAGTAACTAACCCAAAAACATTATTTTAGAGTATAAGTCCGGGAGCTGTTCGAACTGACTTCAGAACGGCATCTAATCTTGTTGAAGATGAGAAGGTATTAAGCAAGTCGCCTTATTTGGAACCAAAGGATGTAGCTGATGCAGTTGTTTATGTTCTATCTACTCCTCCACATGTTCAAATTCATGACCTACTAATGCACCCAGTGTAAATTGAGTTGTTTTGGTTACTTTCAAATTAAATTGTGGTTGCAGTGCTTTGTTATTTTTTTTTTGTTGATTTTGCGGTTTGCGTTTGGAACACAACACTATTATGAAGGCAATTATTCATAATTAAGATTAACAGTATAGGTACGACCTCTGGTGGCAGCACATTATAATTAGTATTGGTGGGATAAGGCTGCCATTTTGTTTATTTACAATGACCCGATGTACAATATTGTAGTTTTTACGTCTGTACGAGTACATATATCTTCATGTGCAATAATTGTAATTACACTTCAAAGAGCAAGGATAATTTGAAACGTCACAATTACACTACCTTAAAGAATTTTACATTTAAATGTGGTCAGTGTAATTACACAACCAACAATAATGATAAGTTTAAGTATCATCGTCTAAGTTAAGTTCGTACACCGGATCCGGATCAATAGGTCAAACCATTGCGTAACTAGTCATAGGCAATACATTTTGTGATATCTTGCACACCAAAAGCAATAAAAGGTCACTTGTCAAAATATGTCGACTGATAAAGACGATATAGGCGATGCTTGTGACCTTATTTATTGTTATACCTACAACATACCATCAAGCAGGAGTTGTGCGCGTTTACAAGATCTTTCCGACGACACCAGTTTGTAAATAGGTAATCGGGCCAAAAACCGTAGTAGTAGTAGATAGATAGGAAAAAAAGTGAAAAATCACCACTTTATTAAACTACGCTCGGTGATGGCACCCAGATGTCGCCGACCCGATATAATATAATTATGTAGTTTGTTAAATTAAATTTGCAGCTTTCATTATTTCCCCCACCTATCTTGTACTTCTATACCTAACTAGCGTTTTCCATTGGGAAACCTAGAGCACTCTGAAAGCGAATGATGCATTCCATTGGCAATCTATAGCAGTCAGAATCGCTCTGCGTACCATGCGCTTGTTCTGTTTTCGCTGCTACAGTCAACCTACAATGTACTAATAAAGTACTGCTCTTTTTGTTATCACGCTGCCTTTATTCACAACCCCAAATGTAACATAGTTGCGTCCCTAAAGTTGTTGATTATACACGAGTCCGATATATACCGTAAAACGGCGTGACTTGAAAAAATTTGGTAGATTTTTCTGTGTAGAAAAATTAACCAACGGCATTACAATCAAATAGGTGTGTGGTAAATGTGCGTGCCCATCTTTTTTTATCAAACCTGCTACTACACCTTTTCCACTTTTATTCGAGAAACTATCAAGTTAATTTGAGAAAGTATCAATTGTATTTGAGAATAGTAAAATGTATTTGAGAAAACAACAAATGTAGTTCAGAATAGTGATTTGTATTTGAGAAGGCATCAAATGAATTTGAGAGTAGTAAATTGTATTCAAGAAATGGTAAAATTAAGCATTTGAGAATCAATAACAAAATCACATGTACAACATAGCCTGATGCTGCTGCTGCTGCTGTTGCGGGACTACATACAGTAGCGGAATTATAAAATTTGATTCTTAATTATAATTCATTAGGAATAATATTACATTCTAAAATACAATAAAATTAAATGATACTTTCTCAAATACAATTGACTATTCTCAAATACATTTGATGTTTTCTCAAATCCAACTGACTATTCTCATCTACTTTGACGTTTTCTCAAATACAAGTAACGATTCTCAAATACAATTTACAACTTCTCGAATAAAAGTGGAAAAGGTGTAGATTCTATTTTCAGGATAAAAATAAAAAATATATTCTATTAACGAATTGGCAAAACAAAATAAATATAAATTCTTGTAAAATAAATAAGTACCTAACAAAAACTAGAATGAATTCTAATAAGTTACAAAATTTATGTGGTTCAGTTCATTTCTGGGAATTTATATTCCCCCCTCCTCAATGTCAAAACCTCACGGAAACATTGCTCAATCTTATCGCTGTTAACCAATGAGATGTCTTGAGCAATTGTAAAAATGAAACTGTTTTTTATTTTGCTGATTTCTATAAGGAACGTGCACATGCAGGATGTACCCCCTTCTTCCACTGACAGAACCTTGCCAACATATTTTTTTAAGGTTCCTTTTGCGGAATGTGTTTTACCACCCCTTCAGTAGGCCGCGACTGCAATCTGTAATTGCACCTTACTGTAGTTTTGATAGGGGCGTACACCCGGCTTTCGCTCATATTTTCGCGGCATTTTTCATTTAACATCACGGAAATTCAGTAAAAATAAATTCTACTGGTAAATGGAATTTTGTGAGGAATAATTTGAGGATATTTTATAATAATGAATAATTTGGACTTTACAAAAAAAATGTACGTAGCTCTCAGTTGTGTATAGTAATCTCGTGACAGATGAATGTATACGACTTATAAAAAACGTACGTTTTTTGCGTTTTTTACCTTGTTTTGATGATTTCTTTTAAATTGGAAGTTGGTGTTTCTGGAAACCGTGTATATTGGTAGGTATGCACAGAATCAGTAGGAACTCAATCAATATTTTTAGTTGCCACTAGATGGGGCGATTTTTTAACTAAAGCTCTGCAGAAATTTTCAAGTCACCCCTTCATTTCAAGTCACACTCACACCGTTTTACAAAATTTGCAAAAATGTGCATACACTCTAAATACCTATAAATATGTACCTACACTTTCTCAAAAAACTTAAATAACAGCTTACTCTGTTATGAGTGACATTATAATATGTGATTTGAATTTGTTTTATGGTAATTATTTCCAAAGCATAATATGGTTCTTTTTAGATAAAATAAAGTTAAACAATGTAGTCAAAATACTATTAACATTGCCAAAAGATACAGGTTGCCATTTAACACTTTTTCCGATGACATCATCATTCTGAAACTATGACGTTAGAAAAAAATTGAAATCCGCCCGTCCGTTCAGCTTTTATTAAGAACTTTTTTTGATATGACCAACAGTAACGGCTGCAGCATCAATGTTCCTTACTTTTTATTCACCCTGTATAACAATATGTGCAGGGTCACAATTAAAGATGGAAAATTCCGATTACTTCCGAAGGAGAAATTTTTCATTTTCCAGGAAATTTGTCCGATAGGTATTCTCGCACGATTAGGGCGTTATGCGCGGGTGCCCATTCTGTTGAAATCAACAGTTTTCCACTTTTGTTTTGTTTTATCTACCCTACATCATTGTATTCGTAATAAAAAAATGCTACTCAATACAGCATGGACTTTTTTACGGACCATACATATATAAACGAAACGAAACATTACGAAAATACCTCAACGGTGTCTTATAGAGCTCAAGTTGAGGCAATGAGAAAGTATTTTTCTGTATCTGTTCAAGTAAAATCAGAAAAAAAGAAAACCGACTTCGGAAAATTTCGGGTTTTCTGGAATATCTTCGGAAGTAATCGGAATTTTCAGGTTTTCTTTAAAGCATGAGATAATAACTTATTAACTGCGAAACTATTATCTAATTTATTTGACCATGGTTGTATCGATTTCGGAGATCCCCATGATAGACATCCTTATCTTTGACACAGTATATGTATGTACACTAAGAAGATACCTCAGGTCTGTATACATTATAAAGTGATGTTTTGTTGTGCTTGTCAAATGTCAATACAAGAAAAAGCGCACTTGTGTCTTGTGTATTTTGTTTTTATGAACTTCTTTAATTGCATTTGATTTGATTATCTGATTTTTATCATACAATTTGAGATGATTTATTTATGTGTATTTTGTTTTGCCGGGGGTTTTTGTCCCGTAGAATGTTTCCCTGGTATAGTCTTGTGGTGTGCGTAATATATTTATTTGTTCTTGTCATTTCTTATGCACAAAAGTTCTGTCTTTTATTTAATTGCCTTCCCGATTATGTCTCACGTCCCAACACGTACAAGAACCGATTACACAACATAGGAGTTCATTCGTACCACCCAGGGTTTTCTGAAATATCTTCGGAAGTAATCGGAATTTTCTGGTTTTCTTTAAAGCATGCGATAGTAACTTATTAACTGCGCATCTATTATCTAATTTATTTGACCATCGTTGTATCGATTTCGGAGATCCCCATGATAGACATCTTTATCTTTGACACAGTATATGTGTACACTAAGAAGATACCTACCTAAGGTCTGTATACATTACAAAGTGATGTTTTGTTGTGCTTGTCAAATGTCAATACAAGAAAAAGCGCACTTCTTGCTTCTTCAAAGTTACACTCCAAAACTCGTCCAATAAATAACTAACTCATTTAATTAAGATCTAGACACGATTGCGAACCAAATTATTATTTCGATTCGACTGTCAGAGTATCGATTGGTAAACAAATTACTTGCAATTTTCCAATTACACAAATTATAATGTATATATCTCTAATGATAAAAAACGGCTACTACCGCAAATTACGTTCCGTTCGTTTTGCATAGGGAAAACGTGAACGCTAAGTCGAAGAGAAAAAAAAAAGTTAAATGGCCACGAGAAGCATAAATCCATGCATGTCGCATCGCGAAACTATTATATTCAGACACAATCACGACTTACGTTTATGTTAGAAGGTAATTATATACTTTAGCGAAATAAAAGGCTTAAAACATGCGCATAAATCGTGCGAATGTGTTTGCAAAATACAAGTTTATATCTGCATAGCAATCTAAGTGGAACGAGTTTTCGAATAATCGCACATCTTTGTTCGGTATTTGGCGATCTTCACTACTTAACAATTTGTTCTGTAAATGTAATCTCATTTAAAGATCTTTAACGTCACGTTTCATTTATCAGTTCTTCATTAACATAGAAACCGATGACCTTATTTTTGTACCTACCCCTTTATTACTCCACAGTAAGAAGCTGCCGAAGATGAAGACCCAAAAACAAACTGGCAATCTAAAATGACCTCCGGCAAAATCAATATTTTTTAGAGAATATGGGGCTCACTCGAATACGGAGAAAATCGAATGTGAAACTGTTGTGGGACCATTCTGAGCAAACTGTTTTACCGTATGAAAATGTTGACTTAAGAGAGTTGTCGTTACTCACGCCGGCTGTTAGGTTTGTGTTTTTATCTGATTGCAA